TACAATTTTGATGCCAAAATGGATCCTTGTGAGTTGCCAAAATTGATCATGATATCATCATGTTTGAAAAAATAAATTATGAAGAAATAAGGCATAGCTGAGGTTGTGCGCCTTATAGGATGGAAGATTGTGGGGAAGTCTTTGATATCGAATAAATACGGTTAAATGGTTTTGACATATTGTCAAGAAGTATAAATGCCTATGAATTAACACAACTCAAACTCCCGTTCATTTCAAAACCTTTTACTATAAATCAACTTTTCCAAATTGAAACATTCAGTACATTGTAGTTTCGATCGGGTCAGCGGCGGGGTTCATAGACGTCATTTCCTTTATAATTTGCAAAGAAAACGCTTACCGCGCGATAAGACCTAGGTAAGCGGTATCGAAAGGTAACGACCGTTCCCATTGTGGAAAATTGCAAATCTAGCATCGGTTTCATATATAAATAGAACCCGAATCGATAAGGATGGTCATTATTAGTTCTATCGTAATTCATTATCAACACAAGGCATTATTAGTTCAATCGTACATAACACTCATTCATTGATTGCTGACTTCCAAAGTGGCAATATGCCACTCTGGGGGTGAGACATCTCCTCGACTTTGGTGCTGCTGCCCATAACATAATGTAATTACCAAGAACCATCATCTTGTTTCTGTCGTTTGCTCATTTCATGTTTGTTCTTTGCTCTTCCACCCTTTTGGCACATTTTTATGTTTTCATGATTGAATGAATTGCTTGTTGTACTCTTGGAAAACAATTCTCTTTATTTGGGGATGAATACGGTTGGGTGGTGAAATGATCAAAACCTCTCGTCAAAAAGCCAAGCGAGTAGCTAAGTCACGACCTATAGGAGGGTCAACATCTGAGTTGCGACACGTGGTGGAGGCGCAGTTTCTGAGTTGCGACAATATTCAACGTCATAGCTAGGTAGTTGATCTCTGATGAAAAGTGCCTTTTATTATTTCTGGACTATCCAGAATTGTTTTTAATTCAAAAGATACTATCTGGATTGCGAAATCAATACTACCATTCTCCATTATCAATCTTCAGACAAATCAGTCTGTTCAATCTCCCTGAGACGCGTTTGCGTCCGTATATCAAACGTGACATGCGCAGTGAATCCGTGAAAAACGATTAAAAACATTTCTATCGAGATGACATTGATTAAATGGCTTCTCTGATGGAAATCAGCGCACCGATGCGTATTTAGCATGGTTGTTACAGTTTTTACAGGTCTGTATGTGAAATAATCGAGCAACGATCTCGGATGGCGACTGCACTTGTAATTGGTTCCACCGATGCAGAAACTTCTTCTGGTACAGTGATATAGTCGAATAAGATGGAAATGTTACCTGCTCAACCCTTTTTTGTTCATAGAAACCCCTTTATAGCTTCGGATACCTAAGTTATCGTTTGGATTTATCTGAATGCATTCCTGAGATGTCGATGCATTTTTTCTTGATGTGAATAATCTGGATTCCACTGACTTCTTCTGCTTTTTTTATCTAAATGGGTTCACCGATTTTGCTTTGGTTTGTTCACTGTTCGCTTTTTTTGTCAACTGTTGAATTCCCAAGCAGGAAGACTTTTTTACTGCAAATCTTATAAAATGGTTCCGTTTTTATCAAGATTCCTACTGAAATTGTTGATATTGAATGGATGGACATGGAAAAGGAAATATCTATTAGAAAACAAGAGCTGAATTTTTTTCAGAACGACCTGTAGGTTTTGAGGTTCCATATACAAATACAATTTTCAATTCACCTTCTCATCTAGAGTGAGTAGTACCTTGTATGCTAAATATGATGTGCTTTTCGTCATTCAAATATGAAATCTTTTTCATTTTCGAGAGAAATGTGGCTTCATAGGTTCATAGAAATTCAAACTCTTGGGTAAGCAAGAAACCCATTTTCGAATAATTGGCGAAGGATATATTTTTGTTGAATAAGACTCAAATTATTGAAGTTGTATATTATTATTGAAATTTTTTGCGCGGAATCAACCGATCTGAAGATGCTAGTCTATAATAGTTAGCGTGTAATCAAGAGGGCCATTAACACCCCATAGGTCCTCAAAAACAAGTTACGCCCGGAATATACAGTGTGGTCCTTTAAGTGTGCAACATATGGGAACCTTTTTAATGAATTGCACAACCAAAATACAGCTAGTGCTGAGAGTTGGTGCATGTTCGGTGATCATTTTGGGTGCACTTAGAATGGTTGCAAGTCAAACAGCATACAGGGTAGGTCAAAAAATATAAAAATTGATCAGGAGTACCCTTCTATCAGAAAATTCAGGAAATTGTTATCGAGAGAAGAAAAGGAAGGAAATATCAAAAAATGCCCTGCTGAGACATTTTTTAGTTATTCAGTTTTTTTCGAATTTGTAATTTTTTTTATCTTCACCCTGCACACTGTCATAAGTTGATCATAACAAAATCAGTTGATCATACCTTCGTTTCAAATTCGAGCATGTTTGTGCAATTAACTCATATTTTATCTTCTTTGTTGCAACTATATTCAGCTCAACTTTAAAATCTCGCAAACCATATTTTTAACAAGGAAAAACATCATAAATGATAATATACATATTCAAAAACTATCATTCGATGTGAACATTCTGTATTTGAAATGTTTATGAAGAAGCTATACAAATGTATCGACAACCATGATATCTTTTGAAATAATCATGGATACCCAAGTAATAAAACAAATGAGGGTTGACAGTAAACATTAAGATAGTTCGATGATATTAACTTTTCATCTAATGATGTTTCACTTTGTTCAAAATGTGGTTTACTTTTCACAGGCTTCGCTAAACGCTCCGCCTCGCAAATGCAAAATTCGCTTGTCAAACAAAGTGTCACTTTTGATCCTAATAAAACAATCTACTATTATTCGTTATCTTCCCAATGCATCATTGAACCTTCCTGAAGTTTCTTCATTATTCCATCACATTTTCCTCACCAAATTCCCATTTGTCTCAAAATCCTCATTCATTCTTCTTCTTCTTAAAGTGAGATTGTTGAATATGGCACACCCTGTGGGTGGATTGTCGGGGTACAGCTAAAACCTACCAGGTGGAACCACTTCCGGACCTTGAAGGTTGTTCGATTCAAAACAGTTATCGAAGGTCGTTTTATTTTACCGGCTTGATCGTACTTTGCTTCTCACATTTGAATAATTTGCAGCGGAAAATGGCAAGCTAATTAAATTTAATCAAAAGTGAATCGCGCTGGCAGAATATTATATCACGTGACGTCACACGGCTGTTATATGACTTGGCAAGGACGTACTAATGGATCTTCATAACGGTATCATCCACGAATATAATATGGGAATCGTTTTTATGCTCATCATACAGTGTGAATTGAATTAATTTGAAACTTGTTTCTGTTTGAGGAACGGTATTAGCACGGTGTTTATTCAAATTTGCGAAATCTGCTTGTGGGAAGAATTATTCATCTAAACCTCCACATTTTCTTCGAGAAATGGCATTGATCTATGTTTCTGAGAATTTGAACCGTTTCATTTCACATTTCAATTCAGAGAATAAACCAGTTCCCGAACTTCAGGGTGTTCATTTGTTTTTGTTAGTTTGCAAAGAGCAATTATGAGGTCGAAATTCGGAAAATTTGATTTTCGTTAGTTCTATCTTTATATAGATATAAAAACAAGGGGAAGCTTTCGTGACTGTTCTATAATAATATTCTTGGAAATATTAGTGGGATGCAGTCTGGACCAATGAATTAATTAAATTTCTTCGTTATTTGTCGAGCTTTCGAAAATTTTTTTTTATCAAGACTAAAAACATGAAATTCTATATAAAATTTTCGAAAGCTCGACAAATAACGAAGAAATTCAATTAATTCATTGGTCCAGACTGCATCCCACTAATATTTCCAAGAATATTATAGATATATAAACAGTCAGTAAAAATCTCTGAGAATGTGCATGCTTATATTTTAGAATACGCTCTCTTCATTTAAAATATTTTCGACAATGCAGTTTTGCTGCTTCCACTAGAAAGTAGTAGCAACATTGATATTTCAAATAGAACACCCTGTATTTCATCAAATTTTCAGATTCTTCCTGAAGAGCTGATCACGTCAATATATCACACTTGGGGTCCATCGATGAAGATTACAGAGATGTTCACAATCGAGATTTTCGAACTTTGGGATTTTTTGTGTCGAAACTATTCATTATCGGTCAAAACGGCTCACACTGCTGATTCATTATATACTGATATTCAATCGGAACAGATACAGGGTGGTTCAAGATTCAGATTTCTGATCTGAAAACAACTTGTCAAGAATCCACATCAGAAACTGTTGGCATTTATACGATTCAAGACAAATGCTCTAATTTATGCCTCCTCAACAAAATACAAATTCCTCTAGAGATCCAACTCTCGGTTGTACGATTAACGAAATATTTCCATATGATGCCAACTTTATGACATATACCAACCTGTCATATATTCACAGAAACTGTTAGCTCTTATATGATCCAAGGCGAATGCTCTAATTCACGCCTACTGAAGAAAATATTGATCCTCCTGGAGATCCAAACTCTCGGTTAGATGATAAACAAGAATAATTTACTAGGAGACTTGAATGCTTACCTAGAGCAGAAACCCTGATTTGCAAGAATTGGCGGAGGCAACATTTTCTTACAATATGATGCCAACTTCATGTAATACACTGTCATAAATTCACAAAACCTGTTAGCTCTTATATAATTCAAGTCAGATGCTCTAATTCACGCCTACTTGGAGAAATACTGATCTCTTTGGAGATCCAAATTCTCGGTTAATCGATGAGCAAAAAAATGCACTTGGAGATTTGAATGCTTGCCTAGACGAGAAACCCTAATTTTCAAGAATTGGCGAAGGCAAATTTTCAAAAATGCCAAAACTGGTACAGTCTCTCCCATATTTCATATGTTTTGAACCACCTGATCTAACGATTTTTCCTCTTGTTTTTTTCCAGACTGCCCAATCCTTCGGAGGGATTGGATTTGGTATAAAACGGGAAGTGTTTTTCCTCAATCTCGAAGATGGATATTTCGGTTGCCAAGTGAACGAATCGACTGACGTTTTACAGTTATTCGAGTTATCGAAATTATGTGACGGAACGCCTAACTGCTTCTTAGGATCTGATGAATTAGCCAAAGAACTGAAGTGTACCGGTAAGTCCTGTTTAATTACGTATGAACGTCCATCTCTCCTGAGTACTAGTTTTTTCCCAACTCCAGTGGAGTAGACACATAGGTAATGATAATAATAATAATAATAATAATAATAATGTTTATTCAAAAAAAGGAAATAAATATATACAGCAGTTAATTATGTAACAAAGATTTGGATAAACATAAACAATCCCATGTTACCTCTAAGTAGGTTGTTTGGGAGAATCAATACCAAACAGAAAATTTCACAAAAAATATATGTACTTGAGATAAAGAGGATATATGAAGAGAATAAATGTATACTAGGTATATAAATATAATAATAATTAGACAGTATGATGAAGTTGTTTGTGTCTCAATCAATTCATTCACCGTGATTGTTGATAGATTCAAAAAAAAAGTTTTGAACAACTTTTTTATAAGTGGAAAATAATTCATAATGTGAATATAGGATTTATATATTTCAGGTAGGATGACAAATTTTCCTGCCAAATACTTTGATTTCTAGTTTGATACTTGTGTTTTGTCTTCTGCTATAGATCTAAATTTTCTCACATATATATAGGTTAAGATGTGGTACGTATGAAGCTTCCTCGAATTCAAAATCTGTGCGTCTTGAAATTGACATAAAGTCGGGGTAGGTGTACTGTTTCCTGAATATAATTTTCAGTATTTCCTTTTGAACTCCTATCCCCAACTAAGAATTGCATACTGAAGCCACGATTCAACCATAGAGAAATAAATTGTTTTTAGATGAGAAATATCTAGGATTTTCTTTAGGTATTTGGATCTGAATAGCATTTGTCCCAATGTTTTAGTAACTTCGTTTACATGTTCTTTCCATCACAAGTGTGGATCAATCGTTATCAAGCTAGAAAACAGTATGCTATCATTCGAGATCACGAGTATATTTTTGTCTCAAATCATCTCGAAATATTCAAGAAAAATAGTACAATCAATTGCGAGTTCAAGATCCATTTATTTTGCGGTGTTTTTTATGAGACAATTTTCTGGGAATAAGTATCAATCAAGAATCAATATCAAGTTTTCTTTATGTCAGCTCTCAACAAGAACAAACTAAAAAGTTCACCAAATTAAAGGAAACGTATATAATTTTTTCATTTTCAATGGAGGCATGTAATATAGTGAAGATATCTGAGTTCATAGAAACTTTAGATATGGCTACGGTTCTGGATCATTCGAAGAATATTGGAGTTTATGCATATTTGAGAAACTTACGAAATGTTCCAGAGATTCAAACACTCAATTAGAGGAGGAACCAATATTCACACAGAGACTTCGATGAAAATAATCCTCAAATTGCATGAATTGGTGGAGGTCAACTTAAAATTAAAGTAATTTAAACATTATTTTCCTATGTATTAGAGATGACATTATTCCAACTTTGTAGAATGTGATAAATACAGTAAGTATGACAAATGGAAGAAACCCAGATATAAAATAGTATAGTGTGTTATTGAGATCATCAACTAGAACAGCGCAATAAAGTGGGGAAATAGACTTTCATCAGTATTTATCACTAAATGAGTTGATTCAATTTCGTTCTATCTTTTATTCCAATTTATGTAGATTACGATGTATTTATTGATGATGTAAAACGAGGCAAATCACATTATATGCCGTTTTCTATTTGCTCGCGTTCCAGCAAAGCAAGTCTAAAAGCGGCTCTATTCGCTTCAACTCAGGAATATCAATTGAGTAGGCACTGTATATCCAAGTTCTCAATTACACTGACCACCGTCTGCGAATTGTATTTTATAAATAAAGTCTAGTCTTTTTGTCAACTTTTATCTGGTCTTTTATAGCTCCATGTTTATCGGTAATATCAACATAGGATCAGTGGCGTACATGATCTACTACAATAGGACATTTTCGTGAGGTTTTAGTTGTAGCGATTGTTTATAACCAGCAGGATAGTCAGAGATAGTCCAAGTGTTTCATCTGGTACAGATACCATGGATGGTCTTCGATAGATTGATTGTTCTAAACCTCCTAAGTTATTTTCTTGACTATCACCACGGGTGAATTTATTTTCAATTCACTGCAAGTGTTTAATTATGAATGTATACAAAATTTAAACTCATCAACAGGGAGACTCCAATGCTTGCCAAAGCGAGAAACCCGGTTTTTTAAGTTTTGGCGAAGGTAACATTTTCGAAAGTGTACATATGTATTTCAGATTCTGAGGAACGATGATTTCTACTCATTGGTTTCACAGATCTTGTTACATGAGCTTCGAATATCCAGAAAAATTCAAAATCGTACATACCAAGTATTTTTAATATGCCGAAAAAGAACTCAATGTGTTCTGAAATTATACGATCTGGGTGTCATTCGAAAAAAAAAAAAAACATTAAACACTGATGACTTAGGTACTCAGGGATTGACCTGTTCTGCTTTAGTTCATTTCTATCGCAGCAATTTTTCACAAATATTACGTGAATGTATATGAATTATAGAATCAAAAAATTACAATAGAAACAGGGAAAAATGAGGAGAGCATTCAGCATTTTCGAATTGCTGACATTTCTGAAATTGCAATAGAAAATTTCCATGCCATCTATCTCTGACATGATGAATTCAGTATATCAATCTTTCTTGAAATTTCACGATTTCAGATGTTCTCGAGATTATAACCATACAGTCATTCATTCAAGAACATTCCCGAACAATGATATCGTCCAATTCGGTCGACCAATTTCGCATTCATTATTCGTTTGACTAACTTATGTTGATGCCGAATAATTAGAAATGAGGAATGTGGAGAAGAATATGGTCTCTTTAGGCATAAACATACAGGTTGTTTTATAATTGAATGTTCTCAAAAATTGATAGTTTTTGATTAATATATGTAATACCACTTCAGATATTCTGATGAAATTTGGCATACATGTACTATGTATTAAGGATCATCAGTTAGTGTACTACTTTTTCCTTTTGGTTGCCACCAGTGGCGTTAAAATAGAATTTCACATACCTATTTTGGCAGACATTGATGGTACGCCACTGAATAATTTCGAAATTGAAATTATTCCTGAAATCCACAATCATTTCTGAGTGAACTTGATCATCACAATTTTCTAATCTGATGCATGGTTTTCGCTTAAAAAAATGGAGAGTTTTTCACTACATGATTATAACAACAACAATATCACAATGCAGAGAAATAAGTTTTATTTTTCAGATCAAATTTCAGAAATACGATTTGTAGTTCATGAACTTCGTATTCGTATTTGGTATTTCGGAATTATAACTTTCCATTGTAGTAGGCTATGCAGGGTGGGCCACCAGTAACGCCTCGGTCTTTAGAAGGCTAACCACTTATCGTCTTGGAATTCTTCCTCTCTAGGAAGTTGCATGTGAACATAGGCTACCATTTAAGATTATTTCTAAACATACAGGGTGTCCCCAAAAACCATAAAACACTGAAGTTAAACTTTTTTCTATCGAACACCCTATATATTATTTCATTTTGAGATTCTCCCTGATGAGCTGATTTCAACGACCCATCATACTTGGGGTCTAGCAGTTATAATTACTGAAATATAGGGTGTGAAAAATCGAGATTTTCCAAGTTCAAGAATTTTTTGTTTCGAAACTATTCATAATTGGTCAAAACGGCTTACATGTCCCGATCACAACTTTTGATTAACTATCTACTGATATTTAATTGGGACATATACCGGGTGATCAAGATTTTGAATTCTGCACCACCTTGTATTTGTTTCAATTAAATGTCAGTAGATAGTTGATCAAAAGTTGAGATGGGGAAATGTGAGCCGTTTTGACCAATTATGAATGGTTGAGACACAAAAAATTCTTGAACTTAAAAAATCTCGATTTCTCATACCCGAGCTCATACCCTATATCTCAGTAATTATAACTACTAGACCCCAAGTATGATGGATTGTTGAAATCAGCTCACCAGGGAGAATCTCAAAATGAAATAATATATAGGGTGTTCGATTGAAAAAAGTTCAACTTCAGTGTTTTGTGATTTTTGGGGACATCCTGTATGATCCAAAATAATTTCAAATGGTAGCCTATGTTGACATGCAACTTCCTAGAGAGGAAGAATTCCAAGAAGATAGGTGGTAAGCCTTCTAGAGACCGAGGCGTTACTGGTGGCCCACCCTGTATAGATTTTTGGGAACTTTACCACCCTGTATCTCAAAAGTTAGGACGTTTAGGTCATATATACGTTCATATGAAACTTTCTTCTTAGAATGGGCCCAAGAATCGCCTTCCTCGAATATTGACATTCAATTATGAAACACCCTGTATAGCAAAGGGAAGAAAACTGACTTCCTTTCGAATTCCCACGATTTTGGGGATTTGCTATCTAGACTTTAAAACACGGCTATAGTTCAAAAACTGTGGGAAATTTTGACACGCACCGTATAACATCCAACCATCGAATGGAATGATGTATTTCTGCTAACAGGAAATATCATTGGACTTGGCAAATCTTTCATACTCATTCGCTATACTAATTTGCTTGAGAACTCATGCGTTTACTGAAATAAATACTCGAACAACTTCTACTTCTTGAATCGTTTGTGTTCTTGTATGAAGTTCAACAATTTCAGTTTTAATTAGCAGTTTCGGTGGTAGAATATGGAGTTCCTCTAGACAAAAAGAAAATTCATTTCTCTTCGCAATTACTTTACATCAATAAACATAAATAAATATACCTACCATGAAATGTTCTAATTTCCGAGTGAATTTGAATACAACCGATTACCTTCTTTAATTAGATACTTCGTCACATCTGAATTGTCAGTTAAAAAAAGTCGTAAACGGAGATGTGGATCTGAAAACAAAACGATTTTTTATCCTCAAGATGAATGTTCTGGAGAAACAAAAGCTCACCATTTAGCTGTCAATGAATGATTCATAGCCGAGACCACAATGGCGTTTCCATTCTTGCAGATTGCTACCTCAGATTCCTCTTTATGCTGCAAAAACAAGGACAAGAA